TTCCTTGTTTTTCCACATTCAAGATCCACACAACACTGGGCACTCCTGTTACCACCCTGCTTCACACTTAGCCTCCTACTCCAGTTCCACTGCTGCAGTTCACTGGTAGCAAATATTATAGGCTTGGCTAATTCCAATGTGTTAATTCCATCCAAGCAATACATAATCTTACTGCTCACTCTTTGTTGCTCAAACTGGATTCTTATACAACAAATTTCTCTTAAGTCAAACCCCCCCCTCCAATGCAAACATCATAATTTAGGGACTGTAACATCTGCATGGTTATATAACCTGTCCTGAGGCCAGTGTGGTAAGTTTTTGAATCTTGAAACTATCAAGAAAAATTCATTCATTGTTGTATTTCTGCCTCCTGGGGAAAAAAATTAAAGGTGTCACATACTTGTAAAGAAATAAGGCTAGAGAGCACTGGAAGTTTTGTGGAAGGGAGTGCTCTTTGTTCTTCATTCCTGCCATTAGGTATTAATTCCAATACCTTCTGGAAGAATTGTAAGTTGTGTGTGCTTACAAGCACCATTTGTCCATTCAATCTACAGAATTTATAGATGGTCGTGCTTTGCCTCCAATTTCACAAGCAGACAGAAATTTTTTACCCCAAAGCACTTTGACATGAAATAAATGCATTAATGGCTAAGGGATTTCTAACTTGACATGGGTATGTATTTCCAGAAAGAGCTCTGGAATACATGGAAAGAAGGGAACTGGCGAATCTGGATTCAGGTTCTACAGTTTTTGAAGCAACAACCCACAAATGCGTGAGGTATCAGCAATCAGCCTGGCCTGCTGCCATGGTTAACCCATCAGCAGCTCAGAAACACTCTATTCCTCACACCTGGGGGATGGGGAGGAGAACAAGAAGAGTGAGAAAGCTTTTGGGCTGAGATAACACTAATAGATAAAGCAAAAGCTGCACACACAAGGCAAAGCCAAAAGAAGGATTTAACTCACAGCTCCCCATGGGCAGCAGGTGCTCAGCCATCTCCAGGAGAGCAGGGCTCCATCACACATAACTGTGACTTGGGAAACACCCAAAGCATCCGCCTTGTGCCCTCTTCCCCCAGCTTTAAACGCTGATCATGATGCCATGTGGGAAATCCCTTTGGTCAGCTGGGGTCAGCTGTCCCAGCTGTGTCCCCTCGCAGCTCCTGTGCAGCCTCCTGGCTGCTGTGGGGGTGAGAAGCAGAGAAGATGCTGTGCAATCAGTGCTCAGCAACAGCTAAACCACCCCTGTGTTACTGAGAGCTGTCACCCACACTGCTCCCAGCACAAATCCATGGTGAATGAAATGGGCTCTGTCCCAGCCCAACCCAGCACACCTCCAGAAAAGGATGCTATGCTGAGGGACAGAAGTGCTGAGCACCTTCTGGCCCCTGCCCCTGGCCCGCTGATGGGCTCAGGCAAGTCCTTCTACTTTTGCTCTTCCAGCTGCCTCCTGGAATTGATGCCCTTCTTTGCTAAGGGCTCTCAAACCCACGGGTTAAAGGGATACCTGAACCCCAGACTTTCTCAGCCAGGGTAAGAGACAGGAGCTCTACTAGACCTGAAGCAAGGCAGGCTGTGTCTGTATGGTAGGATAGAGCACAGCAGGGAAGGACTAACAGATAAATAAATTTCAGCCTGTGAGTTTAAAAGTTTAAAGGACATCTTTTTTCCTGCTGCAGTGTGGGATAACCAAGCACAGACATTCCTTTATAGCAACAGGTGTCTGTGTTTCAGCCCTAACTCTGATCATGCCTTCTGGGTGCTGCTTTTGCACCTTGCCTTACAAACAGGCTGTGATGTGGTATTTTCAGGGTCTCCAGGAAGAAGGAGGAGAGAATCTGACTCCATGTTCTTAGAGGGCTAATTTATTATTTTATGGTATTATATTATATTATATTATATTATATTATATTATATTATATTATATTATATTATATTATATTATATTATATTATATTATATTATATTATATTATATTATATTATGCTATACTAAAGAATAGAGAAAGGATACAGACAGAAGGTTACAAAAGAATGATAATGAAAACTCGTGACTGCTTCCAGAGTCCTGACACAGCCTGACCATGACTGGTCATTAAAATCGAGTCAAAACAATTCATATGAAACCAATCAAACAACCACCTATTAGATAAACAATCTCCAGACCACATTCCAAAGCAGCAAAACAGAGAGAAGCAATCAGATAATTATTGTTTTCATTCTTCTCTGAGGCCTCTCAGCTTCCCAGGAGAAGGAATCCTGGCAAAGGGATTTTTCAGAAAATATGACAGTGACAATGTGACACAGCAGAGGCTTAGAACTGAAACCTAAACTGGACATTTACTCATGGGACTCCCTCAGTTTAGCCTGGAGCCTCTGTGCCGCAGCTCAGCCTTTGGGAATTTTATTGTTACACTGGCAGTTCAAATTCTTTCAAATGTGCATTATGAGGCAGCTGGAGTCCTGGGCTGAGCTGCCTGTTCTGTGGCAGGAGGGGCTGGATTCTGCTTTGCTGGATTCTGCTTTGCAGCCCACGTTGCTGTTTTCAGTCTGCCTTTGCCTCCCATGCAGTGACAGTGATGCTGTCACACCCACAAGAAGAGGTGGGATCTGCAGTTGTCACCATGTTTATTCTGTGCATAGCTGGAGCTGGTAACTGTGCTGCCACCAGAACATCCCTCAGTGACATCACTCAGGCTTGGCAGTTGGCAGGGGGGAGTCTGTGTGCACCCAGGAGCACGTCAGGATGGGGAATGACATGAGCTCACATCCCTTTGCCTCCCCCCACAGAGCCCCTGAAGCTCCAGGCTGTCAAGCTCTACATGATGTGCAGAGAAATCCCACACAAAAATCCCACTATCCTTCCTTGCAGGTGCTGCAAGAGAGTCTGGACCCTCAGATATCTCCACATTCTGCCAAAAAGCCTGAAAATTCAAGGCTAAAACACCACTCCTCCCTCCCCAAACATACGGATGTTTGATACACAGCCCCTGGTATTTTAGGGGCCTCACAGGGTTCTGTAAGGTCTGCATATTAATCCAGACTCCTTTCCTGGGAGGAAAGAAGAGGCTGAGGCAAGGCTCTACCTGGAGAACCCAAAAGACACAAGGTGAAGGTGGATCATGCAATAAATTAAACTCAATCCAGATTACAGCTTGTGAAGAGGCAGATGAAGGAGCTGGGGGGGCTCGGCCTGGAGGAAAAGAATCTCAGGAGGGACCTTCTGGGTGTGCACAACTCCCTGACAGGACGGGACAGCCAGGGGATGTCAGGCCCTGCTCCCAGGGAACAATGGACAGGACAAGAGGGAACAGCCTCAAGACTGTATGTGGTTACCTCTGGATGGCTGTGACTGGTTTAGGAGGAAATTATGTGAGAAGAGACTGCTGAAGTGTGTGTGCAGTAATGGAAAGAGAGTGAAAATTCAAACAATCCACCTTCTACCTCTCCTTTATGGACTAAAGTTTCAGAAAAACCCCAAATAAGGAAATGGTGTTTAGTTCAGGGTTGGGTTTTGGTTATCATTTTTTTCCATTTCAGAGCCTGACTATCCTGCTGTAAAGGATGCTGACAAGTTCAGGGGAAAACTGATTCAGAGGACAAAGTTCTGTTGCATATGAGGCTGCTGGTATGGCTGCTCTGTAGGTGTCTGTGAAACAAACCTTATCAGGCTGCAGCTCACGGTATCGATCTATTGTTCATTATCAGATAATGAACCCCTCATGATTTAGATACATTGCTTATAAATCATACTCAGGCATCACTTCTGACTAATCTGTTCCATGACTATCAAAGGTTCTTTTTTTTCTCCCCCAACACCTTTTTGTTTGTGCACTTAACACCGTTACCAGCGTTGAACATCATAAGGGAAAAATCAGTAATAGGAGTTCACAGCCCCAAACTTAGGGTTTTTTTCAAGTCCCTTTGAATGTAACCAAACCCTGAAAACAGCCTGTATAAACGTTATTTTCAACAGACCCATGTAGGTTTGCAGACCTTTTCTGTGTTGAACTTGGAGGGAATTTTCTAAGTGGGAATAAGGTACAAAACCCAGAGCAGGAAATGTCATGCACAAGTCTCCATGTCTGAGTGCTTTAAATGTATTTTTAGGTATTAGAAGGTATTCATGTTTCAATTAAAATCTGTGAGGCTCCCCCCTGACCTGAAATAGAGGACAAAACCAATGTCATCAAAATATCCTGCAGCAAACACATGGATAATGAAAAAGGAGTTTAAGGTAATAAAGGCAACTCAGGTTTTCCATTTGTGGAGTTGTTGGCTCAAGCAGGAAATAGTTCAAGCAATAGGAACAGCAGCTCCTTGTAACTACTGTAATTGTTAAAGTATGGAAACATTCTTGTAAAAAGCATTGATCATACTTTTTAAAATTTTATTTTGAGTTGATGTTAACGCGTCATCAATATCACCTAAATTCAGCTGTTAAACCATTGAAGTACTTTGTGGGTGGAGAGGTTAGAATTTGAGTTACATGTTTGAAGCTGTATGGTTGCAGTACATTAACCTCAAGACATCTTACACTGTTACATGTCCTTCTTGTTTGTCTTTCTTTCAGGTGGATGGGCTGTGTCAGATCATGCACAGGAGCACAAAACAGCCACAGCACAGAAATTGTACTCTCTACTCTCCTGAGAACCAGCAAACCTTTCATACCTGTGTAAGTCCCTTTTTGGGCATTCCTTAGAGAATTTCCTCTGCTTTGACCAACAAGATTTTTTCTTATATATTAGTGAAAATGATGGGCTTTAATCTTCATTTGCTCCTGTATTCTGAAGGGCAAGAAGAGACAGAATGGTGGCTGAAAACAGGCTTTGAAGCTGTGCTGAAAGAAGTAACTCAGTGACTTCCTTTTTTTGTGTTTCTCAGCCTTCCTCAGAGCCATAACACAGCATGTGAGTGTTTTGGAGGTAGGCAGAGCTGAGACAGGATGCAAATGACTGAGTTAAAGCTGCTCTTTCCATAGCTCTGAGGACAGGCTCACGGATGGCAGGGGACGTCACCTACGCGGCCGTGGCGATGCTGCCGAGGGAAAGGCCCCGCGCTCCTTCAGGGACACCAAACCCAGGTAAAACCTCTTGGGGACACACTCTCTGCTCTCTTGAGCTCTCTCGCTCTTTCCCTCTCACATTTCAAGTTGGGTAAAACTAGTAGAACGCCATAAGATGCTGCATGGGAAGGGCAAGAAGGTGGAATAGCGGATGAGATCCTCACGGTACAAATCAGCCAAGCTGCTCCAAAGCAGAACCACCAAAGAACAGCAGGCCAGGTCTGGGTCCCAGGCTTTAAGTAACAGAATGAGAAAGAAAAAGTGTTCATTGGTTGAGTAATGAGCATAATGTTTCTTTTTAAATGAGTAACATGATCAAGACAATGCTCCACTGAATTACTACCAAGCCCACTAATCAGATCAATGTTTATGTTCATGGAAAAGGAGCAGTAAATTAACCAGGAAATCAGGAAACAAGTAGCAGTCTAAAGTGCAGCCATTGTCACTGAAGGAAGTACTGAATGTCCCCTAAAAACTTCCTGCTCTTTCTCGCTAATTTTCCAGTGGTGATTTTCCAGAACCAAATTACCAATCTGTGATCATTTCATATTTTTGTAAAAAAGCCCCAAAGGATTAAGCCAGTATTCAGGGTAAGGAGATGATTTGAACTAAATTTTCTGAAGAAGTGGCATTTCTACTACTTGGAAAAAAAAATGTAATTCATTTATGAAAGCATTTGGACAAAATTCTGGATCACATCTAACATGAATGGCAGCTTATTATGAGCAAATAGGAAATTCTCGTTACATCAGACTAAGGATATTTTCATGCTTTCATTAGTAATTATTGTATTTATTCCCTTAAGGAAACAGCATTGCGTAATGAGCATTTTTAGATATGCTACTTACAATGGAGATTAATAGTGATGATGGTACTCTGAATACATGCACTTAAATGACAGAAAATAATAGCTTTTATAGATTTTTACAAGAGTGGTATCCAAAAGATAAAAATTAGTTCACTTTATTATATATATTTATATATAATATATATATTATATATATTTATATATATTACATATATATTTTTTATATATGTAATATATATACACTTTATTATATACATGGCATGAAATACTACCTTAAATTCTGTGTTCATGCACCTATGGATGTTGTTTGCACTGCTATAACCTGCGCAACACAAAGCGGTCTTGCCTGGAATTTTACCCAATACCCAAAGTGATAAAACTTATTTGTGAAGGGAGACAGACATCAAATGTCGATTAGAAGACATCCAAAACTAGTCCTTGATCATGCTGCCTAAAGGAAAAGCTCAATTTTGGACAGGCCAGTTCCAATGAAATTTATCATTAACATGTGGATGGCTCTTAGTAAACTTTTGTTGAACTGATTTTAACTTATGATATTTTCTCACATGAAGTTACTGGCCATGGTAATTAAGTGATTTCTCAATGCCCTGTTCCCTTTACATATTTAACCTCTCAAAAATGCGAATCATTTTTGTGGATGTTCTGTTCATACTCCAGTGCTTCCATCCCCTTTAAGAAACAGGCACCAGAGATCCACCCAGTAGTTCTACAAGCCTTAGTTATTCTATCTCAAATATACAGAGACAAAATCTCTTAACTAATCTTTTCTTCAGTGTTTACAGCTCCCAGTCTCACTTTCCCCAGTCTTCTCTCTGATTATACTCAAATACCCTTTGTTTGATTTGGCTTGGATTACAGTTGGACTTCAGCTGTCACTCAGGTGCTCTGGATAACAGGGACGTGGGGCCATATTTCTCTTCACAGAGAAAAGCAAGGCATAACTCCCCAAGGATATTTTCTGGGAATCACAGCCAGGAACCTCAGAGAAGGAAAAACCAATTCTTATCTCATTTGCTGCTCCTGTGTTGTGCCAAAGTAGAATGCAATATGGAGATTGTTTACCCAAAATGATGGTGTTTTGTTTCCTTGGCCCATCAGGGCCAAGCACATGTCCAGACTGTTGGTCAGCTGACAGTCACAAGATTCTGTGCAGTGGAGTTGAGTGCTTGTGCAGTTTCAGTGTAGATATAGTGTAATATAGTATAAAATAATATAGTGTAATAAAGTAATTAATTAGCCTTCTGATATCCATGGAGTCAGATGCATCATTTCTCCCAGATGTTGGGGTCCCCTGCTTTACAACAGGAATGAAGGGATTCTTGGATGCTCTGCCAGAGTGTGTTGAGGAGGATTTAGCAATGGCACTATCTGTGCCCAGGCTTTGCTAGGTGCAGGTGCTGTTACCGTGCATGTGCTTCAAAAGTAGAAAAGTGTTCCTAAATCCCAGAAGGATAAGCACAAGTGAGAATCCATTTTTCAGTGAAAGACTCTGGCAGTTTTTGTGTCCCGATTCTCTCACAGATAATTTGAGAGCTGCCTGATTATGAATCCTGAGTGGCTACACAGAACTTTCCCTGGGAGAAGGACAAACCAAGGAGAGTTCAAGTCTACCACCAAACTAACCCACAAGCAGTTGTAGCCTGCTATTGGTTGTGTCCTTAACTTCTTGTTCCTCTCCTTAACCTCCTGGGCTGCTCTGGGTGTTGACCAGGGCCACCTGGAGCCTCTGGAGTTTCCCCCAGACTCCTGGATGTGCTGGCCCACATCTGGACACACCATTCCCTAAGAGACCTGCCCAGGAGCACTCCCTGGCTGCACATTCACCAGGCAGAAGCTTCCAATACACAGGGATGTTTTCTGCACCTGACAACAGGCACAGGGAAGCGTAGTCAAATTTCAGTTTCAGTGGCTGACAGAGATCTCCACCTTGTTGTTGAATTAGGTGAGGGTGTGGAAGCATCCGGCAGAATTACGGTTATGTGGTGTTTTAAAACCCCCTGCTGACTTCCGAGGACTCTGCATCAAATAATAATTCCAGCATTCAAATAATCATACCAGTCCATACACACTGTAATAGAAGGAATGATTTTGGTTAAATATTCAGCTTGCATGGATAAGTTTTTTTTCTTACAGGCCTAGAGATATTTTTTGAAGGAATAAATGTGCATTTGAGAGACAAATTATTTACTAACAGTAGCAGAATGTCTAAAATACTTATTTTAGAAGTACCTCCATTTACAGGGCTAATACATTCAAAAGTTTAAAAGTCCTGAGTGTTTTTGGAAAATTATTTACATTCTAAGAAGAAAAACTTTTAGGGCATTTGATTTGAGAGCAATTACATTTAATTCACAAATTTTCTGTCGTTCATTGAATTAATAATTTGAAAGAAAGCAAACAACCAAGTGTATTAGGTCATATTCCCTAAAGCACAGACTGTCTCCCCTATATGAATAACCCTTACTTGCCAATCAGGTTCTCAGTTGGTTTTTTAACTGTAAAACCTCTCCATACTTCAGTAATTCTTATATGAAATGCTGCCTCATTTTAACCTAATGAAACTCTCTTCCTCTGACAAGTTTTTTCCCTCAACAGTGAAATTTAATACAACACTTCTTTTTAAAAGCCGCAGTGGTCACAAGCTAGGGTGGTAGCACAGAAGCTTATTCTTGATACAGATGGATAAAAATCTCTCAATCTATGGAACCAAAAGCAGTGTCCCAAAGGTCCAAATACCTTCCATAACACTAATCAGTAGCTCTGCAAAATACCCAGGTAAATTATATTGAAAACATATTCCGAGAGAATCCATGTGTCTTGAACCCACGCCGTGAGATTTTAATGCCAGTTTTGGTTTTGTTTTGGCAATGTGCTTTTGGAAAAGGATGTCTTCAACCATCAGGTCCATTGCTGCTGCAGGCAGCACCTGAAATACCCTGGGATAAGCACTCACAAGTTAGGAATGCCCCCAGGAATTGCCTTGCTGCAGCAGCATTTCTCTGAGTGCTGGTTTGCATTTGGCACCTCTCTACCCAACAGAGCAGTGGCGGGTCTGGTGCCCCTCCAGCCCCTGTGGGACCTTCTGAGATGCCTTAGAAACAGATGGGATGCTTGCCATGGACAAGATCCAGCTCCTTCCCATCCTTCAGGCTGTTTGTCTGACTCCTGCTCCAGCCACACAGCACCCAGCAGTTCAAAGCTTATGGAGGAGGCTTTTCCTGCCTGACAGCAGGAGGAAGTGGTAAATCATCATCTTGCCTGCCGTTGCCTAGGAAAAGGAAAATGCTGAACAAGCAGCCCTGGAAACACACCCCCCTTTTCACACAGGCTCCGCCTTTATTGTTCCTCCACCTGGTGATTGGCGCAGCCACAAATGTCAGCGCTGCCCTCTCCTTACAGGAAACACCATCACCTATGCTGAGCTGCATGTGAAGCCCCAGCCCCAAGGGAGCAGCAGAGCAGAGACTTCCGCTCCTGGTACTGTGCAATTTTGTTTGGTTACTATTTATAGATGGAGTTTTTCCGATTGCCCACCAGTGAAACCTGCTATCAAGAGTCTTTATGTACACTCTCTCAATGAAGGGCTGATCTGTCATTTCATCTGCTGCTTTTCTTCCTGGCTTCTCAGATTTTCACTTTCCTTTTAAAAATAATACTGAGAGATGTTTTTAAAATAATTTCTAAAAAGCCTTTGTGCCCTACATGGGAAATGAAGTAAAGCAAAGAAAAATTGGTTTAAAAAACCAAACAAATGGTTTTTTTAGAACCTTCGTGGGGGAAGAATCCCAGGGATGCATTTGGCTTTGAAAAAAAGCAGGGTAATGTCCAGGTCTCTATGTGCCATTAGTGCCTGGTGATTGTCACCCTCCCTGTACTGGGAACATCATACCAGATAGGTCAGGCAGCCAGAGGATGGAGCAGTTGCTCATCTCACACAGGCAAGGTCAGGGAAACAGAGGTTATGACAGTGCACATCTATCTTGTGGCACTGGCACCTTAACCCCAAATCTCCTCGGGTTCTGCAGCTTCCTGAGGGTTTTCCTCTGACACACACAAATGACAAACAGCTGGAGAGATGCTTGGTTTGATGCACTTTCCTGTGTTGTGCCAGGGGGTGTCAGTATGGAGGTTTTTTTCAGTGCATTTAGGGAAGTTATCTTTGCACTGCAGGACAGGAACAGTAACGCTTGGGAACAGAGAGGAGGAACACCCCACTGCTTGGGAACAGAGAGGAAGAACACCCCACAGCTCATCCCTGACACCCTAGCCATCCCTGACACCTCAGCCCATCCCTGACACCTCAGCCCACCCCTTACAGACACCACAGCCTGTCCCTGACACCACAGCCTGCCCCTGACAGACACCACAGCCTGTCCCTGACACCACAGCCCATCCTTGATACTTTCCCTGAACTGCTCTGCAAGGTCCTGCAGGGTGTGTGTGTGGGTAGGTGAGAGGAGGCAATGCTTGAGAAAAATAAGTCAAAGGAGAAAAGGCAAATTCTTAATGGTTGACAATCACTTGCTCTAAGTGACCAAACATTTGATTTCACTTCCACATGTGCAAAATGGATGCAGATTTTTAATAAGTTAAATGCCACTGCATCCTCCTGACAGCAGACTGATTTTAGGCAGATGATTTCTCTGTTGTTTCCCCAGTGTTAAGTTTAAGAGTGCCAGGACCTTAAGCTGCTCTTCCTTCTGCCTCCCTGCAGGCTGCTGGCACAGGAGCTCAGCCTGGTTCTACGTGGCACTGGTCCTGGCAGTCCTTGTGCTCATCCTGCTGGGAGTCGTGGCCATACAAGCCAAGCAGTGTGAGTAGATCCTGCCTCCTGCTTCACCCCTTCACTGCAGACATGGTTAAACCTCTGAAAGAGCTGAGAGAAAAATTCCCTTAGTGGCACACTAAAAAGGTGTCAATTCGTACACAAATACAGGAAATGAGAGAGTCCTGACAGGGGCCTGCAGTGACAGGACAAGGGGCAATGGCTTCACACTGACAGAGAGCAGGTTTAGATGGGATATGAGGGAGAAATTGTTCCCTGTGAGGGTGGTGAGGCCCTGGCACAGGATCCTCAGAGAAGCTGTGGCTGACCCTGAATTCCTGGAAGTGTCCAAGGCCAGGCTGGATGGGGCTCTGAGCACCCTGGGACAGTGGGAGGTGTCCCTGCCCATGGCAGGAGGGTTTTGGAATGAAATGATCTTTAAAGTCTTTTCAAGCCAGGCCATTCCATTAACATCAGGAGGGCTTTGCTCACTGAGCTTTACTCACTGTGTTTGCTCCTAACTGTGTCTGTACCAGGCAATGTACACAGAGACATCCTCACATTCACAGTCCAGCTCTGGGTACAAGACTGCATTTCCTTAACCTTCTTGTTAACCATGACCTCTTTCTCTTATTTTTTTATTTTTTTGACTTTGGACTGTTCCAGTTTTGAAGGGCATAGCAGGAAAATCAGGAAGTTTGCCCCACTATGGTCTGAACAGCACCAGCAGTGACATTTCTTCAGAGAGGACTGTCTCAGCAGCACTCCTGAAACGGCTCATGGAGGAGCTGTGTGCAGATGGACAGGGTGAGGCATGTTACTCCTTTCCAGCAGAGAGGATGTGTGGTGTGCACAGTTCTGTTGTCTCTGTTCCCATTTCTCTGACACCCTGCAGTTTATGGGAACTTGTGGTGCTCCTGCAGAGCAGTAGTAACAAAATCTAAAGTAACATTTTAATCACGATAGTCTTGCTCTTCTGTTGATATAAAGTTTCCAGTATTTTCATTACATTTCTATCTGCCAGGAGCTGCTGTCAGAAGTGCCATATGTCCTCCTCTTGTCCTGGAGAACACTTTCCGGACAATGGTTCATAAACAGAGGGAGGAATTCCATCCATTGCAGGAGCTAAATATTCCCCCTGTCCACCCACAGGGACAACGTGTGAGCTGTGTCCCCCTGGCTGGCAGCTGCATAGGGGCAGATGTTACTTCTTCTCTGAGGAGGCCAGGAGCTGGGAGGACAGCCAGAAAAACTGCCTGGCCAGGAAATCCCAGCTGCTTGTCATTGAGGATGAAATGGAGATGGTGAGTCTTGCAGCAGTGACAGGCCTCAGCCAAACACTTCTCCAAGAGAAAATGGCCTGGATGTCAGGAGTACACATAGACAAGCAAGAGCACCACCAGAGAAAGGATCTGAGTCTCCCTGCCCAGGAGCTGGGTTTGGGAATGTCATTAGAGCAGAGCTGAAGAGGAGAAGCACAAGAGGTGCCAAGTGTGGAAGCCAGAGTAGCTTTGACAGGGAAGAGGAAATGCTGGGGACTTTCCACTGATTGGCTCTGGGAAGAGAGGAGGCTGGTCGTGTGTGTGGGCTGATGGAAGGGGCTGCTCTGCCATGGCTGCATTCCTGCCCTTGCTCTTCAAAAGGAAATAAAAGCTGTGCATGAGGCAGGAGCATGACCTGGGCACAGCAGGAAAGCTCTTCTGTCAGGTAACATCCTTCTAATCATTCCACAGGAATTTATAGACAACAAAGATAAAGACACCAAATATATCTGGATTGGCTTGCACACTGAAGGCATGGAGAAAACAGTGGAAGATCACAGAGTGAGGTGATGATTGTTGGGGGGAGGATATCTTTGGGGAAAGCAAAATGCAATATCCCTGCTTGGAAATACAATTCTGAATCTGAGCTAATTACCCAAAGCACAGATCTAAGCCTGCAGCCTCAGGTACCTATCCAGAATCTATTTCATGGCCAGTTCCAGGTCAACAGGTTCCTGCTGGGCACTTTGGGAAACTGATTTCTGCTTCCAGGACTAACCACAGCCACAGCTCATATATTTATTAATGCAGTGATATAATTACACACTTCTGCTGAAATCCCTGCCAACAAACTCTGTCACTTTGCAGACCATGAGCTGCCTGACTCTGCTGAAGGTGATGCCTGTCACCACATAGCACTGGCTGGGATCTCTGCAGCTTTCTTCAGCACTGTGGCTGTATGCAGAGGATCCTTATCCTTGTAACACTAATAATGCCAAGCATCCATCCCTCAGAAGCCAGCAGTCCCTGCTGGGGGTGCCCAACCCACCTCTGCACAGCTGCTGTGCTTCAAGGGGGTGGTCAAGTAGGCATCATCCACCCCTCTCACCCAGAGCACTACCAGGATTTTAAAGCAGTGCTGAATTTAAACACAGCAACTCATTGCATTCCTTTTGGTCTCTCGGCAGGACTGCTCTAAAAAGCAATGAGGCTGACAAGAACTGTGCTGTTTACAGAAGGAAAAACCTGATCCAGGCAGATAACTGCCAGACCTTAAAGGAGTGGATCTGTAAGAAGAATGCAACTTTGCTGGTGCTCTGAGCCACATTTCCAGACAGCAGGCAGAGCTTCTCATCAGAAGACCCATTTTACAGACAAACCAACTTGTGATGTAAATGATTTTCATCAGACCTGCAGGGAAACTTGCACTTTGCTGTGCTGTGCTCCCTAAGAAGGCAGAAGACAGGTCCTGCAACAGGGCTGCAAGCTGGCCCACAAGGATTCTGGGTGCTGAGCCTTCACACAGACAGATTTTGGCAGCAGCTGCCTCAGGAAGGGTCAGAGGAGGAGAGATACTCATGGGGAGGAGCACCGTGCACATAAACAGTGTGATGTGCAGGAATTGTGGTCCCTGTGGGGATGAAAGGTGTGCTGGGCCCTCTGCTGCCACCCCTGCCTGCAGGCAGCTGCTGAGCTGAGGACTTCTTTTTTGGGTTTCAGGATTTTAGTGTTTGTTGAAGTTCGTGGCCTTGGGGTTTTTTCCTTGGGGTCTAATTGTGACTCACAGAACCCACCTGAGGGCTGGGAAAATTGCGTTTATTGGACAGTGTCTTATTCAAAGCTGCTGCACAGCTACTGGGTGTGGACAGCAGATCAGGCATGAAGTGACTTGTAACACTGGTTAATGTGCTGATTGCTCCCATCCTCTTCTGCTGCTGAGCCTTGGAATCTGAAGGGATTAACTAGGGAAGGGGCTTGGGCTGCAAAACAACATTGCAGTGCAAGGAAATAAAGTTGATAACCTTCCTCTCCACCTATGTTTTGTCCCCTTACACTGTAAATTCCAATTTACATTGTAAATTCCACAGTTATGGTAAGGTGAGGTGCCAAAGACTGCTGAAATAAATACCTGGGAGTGCACTCAGTAAATGCATTACTTAGGCACTAAAGTGTCATGAATAAATGCTATTTCTGGGTCTAGAACACAAAAATGCTAAGAGCAGTCTGACCTAGTGCCTTTATTAGATTCCCATGTTCGACAAAAATGAAGAAATGTCATGAATTGAAGGTGCTACTCTAACAAAAACAGCACCAACTGGAATTTAAGTCCTTACAGCAACGAAAAAGAGAAACAAGTCTAACATGGCTTTTGAGATGGTGAGCCTTTACCTCATCTTTGCTGCGATGCACACAAATAAAGGCAGCTGCAGTTTAGCAGAGATGTTTTTTGATACATGTGCATGCCTAGGGAGGGTTAATATCCAGCACTTTAGGGCTGCAGATTTAAAAGTGAACTGTACCCTCAGGGACTTCCCTTCAAATAACAACAAAATCCCAGCACAGATTTGTCACGAAGAATGCAGCATCAGCAGCTCAAGACCCATGAGAAACTGCTGTTATGTAAGAGCAAAGAACAAAAATCCCCCAAACTCAGCACAGCACGTGAGGGGAAGAGAATTGGTTTGTTCATTCTAGACAGAGAAGCAAAGAAAAGGAAACACTGAAATGAGTAAGATCATCATCTATACCTATATAATACATCCTTTATAGAGAGAGAATTTCTGACTGCTGAGAAATTTTCACTTCAGGGTACTCACAGCACACCCCCCTCCATGCAGTGGAGTTGACAATTGCTGGTTTTCTAGCAGATCTATCTTGATTCATGCTGAATTTAACAAGAAAAACAAACCCCTGCATGCTGGCTTCTCTCAAATTAGTTGTGGTGTTAAGGATTTAACAATATCCATAAAACATCTACGATTTGGGCCTTCTTGCTATTATTCATGTAATTTAACAAGTTTTTGCAGGGCCTTACTGAAGTTCTTACCTACAATTTAAGCAGTCACTTATTTAAAAGAAAAAAGAAATGACCATTGAAGTACTTCATCAAACTCCACTCTGAGTAAAGCAAGTTGGCAGAGTTTGCAGCTTCACTCTTCTTTTCTTAACATCACTGAAGAAGTTCATTGCATCCCTGAGGAGTCAGATTCCAGAAGAGCTTTCACTTTTTAACCTTTTGTTAAAAGTGTGACTCATTATGAGGTGTTAAAAAGGGAAAAGCATTCTTTTTTGGATCAAATATTCTGCTTCATGTCAGCCCCAACATTATGATTAAAGATTTTTTCATGTTCAAAACATTAATATTTTACTTTGCTCCAGATTTTTTTTTCACCAAAATGGTGCCTGAGATGAAAAATACTTTTATTATTCCAATATTAAGATACAAACCACTGTAATTCAGGGGCTCTGTAAAGATATTTATTAAGTATCTTTTCAGGACTACCATATCCTTCACATACCATATCCTTCACCATATCCTTTGCACATACCATATCCTTCAGAATCAGGTGAATGTAAAAACATTGCAGAATAACACCTTCCCCCCAACATAAAAAATAAATAGATAATTAGGCTTTTTATACTGTAGAGTCCTGTTACTGTGCCTATAAAGCATACAAGCAATTAAGAAAAGTGTAATCCAGCAAAATTAGTGATTATATTTAAATAAACATCTGAAAGGCACAAGCTGCTGACAGTATCCATGTGTATGGTCCTGCTACAGTCAAGTCCTTCTATCACAGAAAATAATGAAGGTGAACTTCCCATTCTTCCTTCTCTGGAAGCTTCATAGTTATATTCCTTCCAGGCAAATTTGCTTCCTCTGGGTCAAATGACACTTTTAATCTTTGGACAATGTGATAGATATGTGTGGGACTCAGACAATCAGAGGGATTGTGCCCTAATCCTGTTCAGGCTCCCAGGATTCCAAGAGCACTGGAGGCTGCTGCTGAAAAAGTCACCTACACCAGGAAACACTGACTGTCCACCTGGAAATGTCCCCTTGCTCAGAAGCCTCACACCATGACAAGCACAGGGCATAAGGGAGACACAGAGAAATATCCCTTGCTGCTAATTCTCTCATTTCCTTCTCCTGATTTTGCCTCCTTGCACTGAGGACTATTCCTACATTTACACATTAATGCCTGCAGCTTCACTATCACCCCTCCAGTTCTAACTCTTCTCCCCCCCATCAGTGCAGATGCTCAGGTAAATAGATATTCTTATCTATTGTGGCCTTTCTTTGGCTAAAGAAAGTGTTGTGAGGATAACTTCAGGTGCAGTGCAGCTACATAAATCAGCTTGACAGTGTTATCACCAGGATTTAACAAAATTAATGTAACATAACATTCACAAAACGTGGAATACAATGCAAGGTACATCCCATCAAATGGAGAGAGGAATTTGCTGTGATCCTGTCTAAAACAACAGTGTTCACTTCTGCATTGCCCTGTATCCACGAGGCACTGGCAGCCCTCCAGACAGGCCCACTCCACCACCCATGCACACAGAGCCTGGCAAAAGGAAAAGCAGAACAAAAACCTCCAACTGCACACCCAAAAAGGGAAAGAAAGAGCAGCTGCTCCTACAAGAGAAGAGTAAATGGAGGAAATATTGATGGCACAGCAAAAAGAAACTACAGCTGGGCAGTAGCTGGAAAAATGGGGCAAGGAAATGACTTATCAAGATGCTGAAGAGAGCCTTTAAAATGGTATCTTTAAAGCTTTCCTCCATGGGTGGAGAATTCTGGCTACCAGAAAAGTCATTCACCTCTGGGTAGGAGCTGGGACACATTCCCAGGTCCCAAAGCGTAGGCATAGCCTGTGTAGGCATCATATCAGAGCTCTGAGTGTCAGAGGTGGTGGCTTTGTCCACCTTTATCTTGCTGAGTTGATATTCAAGCTACAGACCCATTTCCTGGTTAAAGAACATCCTGAGGCTGAGACTCCTTTGGACTCCAGATAGGCACAGCTGCCAGAGCCTTTTACTTCAAACCTGTCACGGAGAAGGGAAGACAGGATTACTTGGACACCCACAATCAAATATTGCAATAGAGCAAAGGCAGCTATGGGCATCTCAGGTTCTCTTTGAATTCTCTTTGAATAAAGTGGGATTTATCTCAGGCAAGGCACCAGAGGAGGATGATGTTTTGTGCCTTGAAGGGAACACCATGGAGGTTGTCTTTTCTTAATGGTATCTCGTGCCCAGAAAACAAAATCCAGGACTTGTAGTACTCCTGCATCTTGTTTAGTGGTCACTTAATGTGAAACACACCCTTAAGAACAGAGACTGAAACTCAGGTTTGCCTTTCTCAGGGATGCTGTGCCATCAAGACGGGCACCACCACCTTGCACCTCCACATCCTCCTATCCAGCTCAAAGGTTCCAGCAGAAGCTGTGAAGGAAATGCATCTCTAATTTCTCCCTTCCTAAGAACCCAACAGGCACCGTGCTTAAGGGGGTGGGGGGAAACAAGAAGCAAATCTCAGTTTCCACACCGTAGGTGTCCCTACATAAGAGGTGAGGACCTGTCAGCAACTCTGTTTTCAAACAAAGGGCTATAAAGTTCTATGGATAGGCCAAGCAAACTGGAATGGTCTCTGGAAAAGCTAAGGGACAAATCCTCACCAGTGTAGTGACACCTGAGCTTAGATATCAAGGTGTTTGCCCTCCCCTTCAGGAGGGGCAGTTTGAGGCAAGCAGTGAGGCAGAAGTCCAAGAATGGGAAGAATCTCACTGAAAATGAAAGCATCAGTGGATGTTTGTACTGCAGACAGGGGATAAAGGAGTGTGAAGGACTGCAGTTTTCAACTTGAGGTGCCCACGTGTTCCTCACATCTCACATTAAATGCCTTTGTCAGATCAAGCCTTCAGGGCTTGGGGATGAAGTGAACATAGTCACACATCACCAGTAGTGTCACAGACTTAAAAGTACTTAAATTTTCCACTTTTTAAGGTAATTTCTGACTTGTGAAATCTCCTTGCTTATGCCTATCAATGGTAATCGTGCTAACTCCTGCCAGCAGCTGCTCCAGGATGAGCTGCAGCAGCCTCTGAGGAGATGGGACAGCTGCCAGGGAGAGGAACAAAGTGCCCCACACCTGACACTGCTGGCATAGAACACAGGGCCCTGGCCACAGAGCAGCTCATGCAACATAAATTCCCATCTTCCTTCCCCTCCAGCAGCCTCTTTCTGAGGAACATTCTATAAAAATGAAAACATGTCTTAGCAGTCTCCCAAATCCCTTTGCTATTAACTTCACA